TTGTGCTGCATCCCGAAGCTTCGTCAAAGTCCTGGAAATGCCTCCACCTGCAATAGTTGATTCTGTACAGCCCCAATGACGTCTGTGTTCGCTGTTAAGTCGGGCACAGATTCTACATGTAGCGGAGCTACACAGCTTCTTAAGTCAGAGGAAGACTTAACGCTCTATGAGCAACTTAGTTCTAAAGAACTAACGACTTTACGAGTCAACAAGCTTTATAGCTTCAGATCCCTGTTCCAGGGGACCTAACGATTCAGTGAATCGACAGCACTTAGTGCTCAAGAGTAGCTACCTCAAGGAGGTGTCGCTAACTCTTAGTGATCAGAGATCAACGATCAAGACGGCTCGCAAGCCACGTGTCTTTCAGATCAAAATGGGAACTGATTTTATTTTTGTTAAAGCCTATAGAATATCTTAATCCTACTCAAAGATCTTTCGTATCTAATGGCTGACACTCGTCAGCCCCTACAAACCGATAAGATATTCTATATCACCTTCACAGAAGCGAACCCTCAGGTGTGTAACACCTCTGGTACAAAGTACCATGATTTCGTGCAACCCGTTACACCCTCCCCCACCAGACTGACGTTTGCCAAAACGTCAATCGAACTCGTGTTCTCAGCGAGAAAAGTGCGCGTACGGTGAACCTCACGGTAACGTACGCTCCAGCACGATGTCCTCATCACCAAACGAGTCAAAGGCTCTGTGTGACTACCTCGGAATAGAGGAAGAGGTGGACTATGGTAGCGATACCAGTGTCCGCGGTGACTTAGGGACAACGTCCGGCTCACTGATGCCTGAGGCACAACTTTCGAACGCCCCAAATCCGTTCGCTGAACGTGGAGGTGCGAGCGCGCCGCCAGCGCAGCATGCAGCATCTGATTCTGATGAGACTATCATCACGAACCCGCTCGATGAGCAACAATAACTGCTTGTTCAAAGAGAAGAAAACGCTCAGCGTTATGCACAGATTACTGCAACCCTTGAACGCCAGCGTGATTATGTGTTCACCCCACCCAGTGTGGAGGAACGTCTGCGTCAAGCGGCCGGCCAAACATTGGCAACGTGGGTCATTGGCCATGGGCCTAAGACTCCTGAGGAGGTGGTGAGCTGCCAGGCACTTCGTGAGAGGTACCTGGAGCCGCACCTAACGACTCAAAGTCAATACAAGGCACGCCTTGACATGCAAGCACGTGGTGCACCAGTTCCACCGATGAAGGGTATACCCATTCTCCTGCTCGCAGGCGAAACAGCGAGTGAAGAAGACGATGCCTTTGTTCACTGGGTGCACTATGTGCGTCGCCTCAGCAACATTTTTGCTCTAAGGGCTAGTGCCCATGCGGCGGATGTGCGTCTCGAACGCACGCTTCGGTATGATTATGCCAAGCTTAAGGCCAGAGGCCAATTGCGCAAGCGCACGCGCTATGCTCCGGCTACTAAGGTAGCCGCGAGTGCTGGTCAGTCTGTGACCAACAACCCGCCAACCCGCACCACTAGTGGTGGTGAACGGCCTCGGCCTCGAGATGACCATGGCCACGATGCTCAAAAGCCTCCAAAGCATATGGGCAGTCTTGCCGAAGGGGTACCTCAAATTCCCATGAGTTTTCAGACTCAGGGTACCCACGCCACTTTACCAGATACTGGTATTGGCCCTGACGACGACGTCGTTTCAGTAGTCTCTCGACATGGAATTGACGACACCCATGCTCATCGAGCAAAGTCGGTGGCGGCCGGTGTACCGGTGGAGGCCCACGAGAAATTGGTTCTCGAAGTGAAGGGTCTTCAAGAGGCCTTGGGTAAGTCCCAGTGCATGTTGGATGCGATGCAAAGCCGCCTTCAGGCGATGGAGAAAGCTCAAACTCGGAGCGAGGCTCAGTTGGACTTGCTGATTCGTCTACAGCAATCCGGGGCAGTGCCCTTGTCGTCGGCGCAAGCGCCTCCAAGTTCACATGGGAAGGGTCCCGGTACGGCTTAAGTAAGCCTACGTAGAACACTGGATGTGTGCGCAATTTGAGCGGGAGGTTTAGCGTATACGCAAGTCCCTTCTTGGCCGTGACCGTAAACGGTCCAATAAAGCGTGGACGCAACTTTGTCTTAAAGACAGCAGACACTACATTTGTAGGTAGATTTTTAGCATTGAGTAATACTTGGTCTCCGACCTCATAACGTTCAATACAATTTCTGCCTTTGGCATCAGCTTGTTGTTTTTGGGTATCTTGGCTATCAGCCATTGCGTCACGCACATGTCTTAAGACATTTAATCGCGTTGCGAGAAACTCGCTTACCTGTCTTTGAACAGTAGCAGGGCTGATATCAGCAAGCCGATCGGCAACCTCTCCCCCACCAAGCCCTGATTCACGTAGTGATATCGTTAACGGAACGCGAGGGTGAGTGAGACCGTTTATATAGAACGGAGTAAAGCCTGTTGAGGCATGAACATCGTTATTCAACGCAAACTCAACAATAGGGAGCATTGAGCTCCAACGCCTAGGCGTATCAGCGCAAACACTGCGCAAAATGTCGTTGATGACGCGGTTTACACTCTCAGTTTGACCGTCGGTCTGCGGATGATCCGCTGTGGACATGTCCAACCGAGTGCCAAGCACCTTGAAGATAGACTTCCAAAACTTCCCAGTGAAGCGGGGGTCTCTATCAGAGATAATTGCCACAGGCAAGCCATGTTGGCGAAAGACACGGTCGATAAACAGCTTTGCTGTACCTTCCGCATCAATGCTATCCGGCACAGCCGCTAAGTGAGCCATCTTGCTCAATCGGTCAACAAAGACCACAATACCAGTGTTGCCTTCCGAATCTTTCGGTAGGCCAAACACAAAATCCATGCTCATGGACTCCCAACAACCACTGGGTACCGGCAAACTAGCCAGCGGCGCCGCCGCATGTGCCGAGGGTTTTACCCGTTGACACGTTTCGCACGTACGCACATAGGTGCGCACCCACTTATAAAGTTTGGCCACCAATAACTTTGGCTCACCGAGCTATAAGTCTTCTCACGACCGAGATGACCACTTAAAGCAGTATCATGTGCCTCATAGAGGATCCGATACTTTAATTCCTCATCATGAGGTACTACGATACGAGGGTTGTCCTCAATATCCGTGCGATAGCACAACAGGCCATTATCGATGGAATATCGATGTAGCCTCGCACGTAAACGTGCCGACAATTCTATGTCCGAGTCTTTAAACTCATCGCTCCCAAGAGCACGTAGCAAAGCTACACACTGATCGTCCTTGGCATATGCCGCACGAATTAAGTCAGGGACTGAGCGACGACAGGGTCGTAACATGAGCAAGCTCATAGTCAGGTCGACGCGATAGCGCATCAGCCAAAGCGTTTTGCTTACCTGGCTTGTACTTTACCTCGAAGTTATATTCGGCAAAGTATGAAAGCCAACGAGCCATTCTCTGTGAGACATGAGGCGACTGCGTCGCAGTGCGCAATGACGCATGATCGGTATAGATCACAAATGGCTTCGAGCCAAGCAGATGGACTCTGAATTTGACAAGAGCGTACTTCATAGCAAGTAGCTCTTTGTCATGAACAGGATAGTTCTTTTCAGCAGCTTTCAGCTGTCGAGATTTAAATGCGATGACGCGTTCGCGTCCGTCGACATCTGTTTGTAACAGAGCACTGCCTATGGCAAAGTCAGATGCGTCACAGACGACACTGAAAGGCCGACCAGAATCGGGCAAAGCCAATATTGGCGCATGAAGGAGACTCTCCTTAACTGCTTCAAAAGCATTATGTTCGGTGTTACCCCAACACCAACCCACATCCTTTTTAAGGAGATTGGACAATGGCCGAGCCATACCTGCGTAATTTGCACTGTACTTATGTAAGTAATTGGCAAGGCCAATCCACTTACGCAAGTCCTTTTGGTTCTTGGGGACTGGCCAATCGACTATGGCTTTTACCTTAGCGGGATCCGCTCGAAGGCCTCGCTTCCCAATGAAGCACCCTAGAAAGGGAATCTCTTCTGCACCAAAGATGCACTTCGATGCGTTCGCATACAGCTTATTCATCCGCATACACCCGAGCACCGCTCGTAAATGATCGATGTGATTGTCCACATCTGATCGCCCATTCATTGCACGACTATGGACAAAATGTCATCAAAGTACGTTTGTGCATAGCCTCGATGAGGTCTGAATAGTTGCGTTACCAACCGGTTAAATGTAGCCGGGGCGTTAGATAGCCCTTGTGGCATAACGAGCCACTCCCAAAGCATACCGCTCGGAGTACCCACCGCTGTTAGCGGAATATCGCTTGCTCGCATGAGCAGTTGGTAATAACCATCGCCTAAGTCGAGTGCACTGTACAGTGTACATCCCGCCATATTGTTCTGAAGAACATCCTATCTAGGAATAGGAGTCTGCGCCGGTATAGTGGCTGCATTAAGCTTATTGTAAGCATGCACAATACGCCACTTGCCATTTGGCTTTCTGACACAAAATGTCGGTGTTGAATGGGGAGATTTACTCTCACGAACCATTCCAGCCGCGTGCTTAGCACGAAAGAAATCGTCAATGACGTCGCACTGTTCTTTAGGCAAAGGCCACTGCCGTGTTACACAGTATTTAGTCCCAGGAACCAAGTCAATCTCATGACGTACACCTCTATCGGGAGGTAAGGCAGAAGGTGGGTTGTGACACACCACATCTTGAAATTCCTTGACTAAAGGATAGAACGGATCCAAACGATCTTTAAGGATCGAAGATCCACTTCGTGCACTAAGTGCCGCCTTTGTATCCTCTAGGACAGACTCATCCATTAACGAGGAAGAATTTAAGTCAGTATCAGGTCTAATGATTGCTAACTCGGATAACTCTCCTGCCTTCAAGGCCTGGCTAAACTCGCCATCAGACATTTCGTCTAGCTCACACAGAGCGTCCACAGATGGAAGGGTTTCGAGGCTCACATTGCCATTAACCTGACCAGTCACTCCATTAACAAGTGTATATAGTGTATTGCTAATCTCACTATGTGACTGTGAGGACGCCTGGCGCTTTACAGCTGCTACTCGGCGTCTCGATTGTCTCTTCGAGACCTTACACCCCTTAGGGGTCGGGACAATATTGTCCCCATGGTTACTACCAACCATAGTACGCTCTACACGAGAGCTTTTGTCTTGACCAACATTAGGTGTGGTGCCCTCACGGCCGTCCACACTATACGGCGTATCGCCAACAGTGTCATTACTGACATTAGGTGTGGTGCCCTCACGGCCGCCCACACTATACGGCGTATCGCCAACAACGCCATTACCGGCGTTAAGCGTGGTGCCCTCACGGCCGTCCACTCTATACGGCGTATCGCCAACAATATCATTACTGACATTAGGTGTGGTGCCCTCACGGCCGCCCACACCATATGGCGAATCGCCAACAACGCCATTACCGGCGTTAAGCGTGGTGCCCTCACGGCCGCCCACACTAAATGGCATATGGCCAAAAATGTCATTACCGACATTCAGTGCGGTGCTCTCACGGCCGACCGCACTCGGTGTAATTTCACGTGCCACCATACACACATCAAAGGAATCACGTCCTTGATCACTCGGCCCCTAGGCCAACCATGCTTTCAGCATGCAGTGACTCGTTATCACAACGAGTACCACTCAACGGAGTACGTGCCGTTTCACTAGTTTTAGACGAGCTAGGCTCGAAACTTATGTTTTTAACATTGGAGTTAGATAACTCGGACATTCCAATATCCAGCACATTGACATCTTCTGTCAAAGGCTCGCGCCAATAGCGCTTCTGCTGCCTAGCAAAGGTGGGTTCATGACTCTCCAAAGCTTCGCTAGGAATATTGCGCGTAGCGCCTAAGGGTCTTAGACCTCCAATCAATCCATGGCTCATGGCGCTCAAGCCAAGCCATACCTAGGATGAGATCATATCTCGAGTCCAAATCTAGGACAAGACAGCGCTCAATACTGTCAAAGTCTAAAAACTTTATACCCAAGTTCAATGGAACTTTAGGCACCGTTACGCGACTTCCAGTCGCTAAACGAACCGTGATAGAATCACCCTCATGCGCTGTAAGCGCCTCAGCATAACGCTGACTTCCCTCAAGGGAACGGCGTCGAGCATAATTGCAAGACGCTCCAGAATCGATCAATATCGACCAAGGCTTCTCGAAGCCCTTAATTTTCGCCTCGGCGACCAACAAGCCAGACTTGTATCCACGCACCATACCCGTAGGTATGGTACCCTTTGGGGCTAAGCCCTGCATTCCTTTACCTTCTAAAGGTGTAACAGAACATAGTTCTTCCCCAGTAGGGCGCCCCGCGCCTACTGGGTGTCGGCATTTCCCCGTGCCATGCCAGACTTCTGACTCGGGCTCGAGTGTTGGCTCGTAGTCTGGCGTTGCTTACGCAAAGGGCAACCAGGCCGCAAGTGTTTAGTGCTTCCGCACGTAAAGCATCGTCTTACAACGTGTTTCTGCTCAGCAGCTTGAAGCTCAGCTTCACCTCCATCTTCAGCATAGCTGAGATCCATCGGTTCCGGCCTATTATAGGCAGTGGTACCCGAATAGTTTGCTCTCACAGAGCGAGGATTGTATCCGTTCCAACCAAGTCTGGCCGACTTGAAGTTATGCTCAGCATTAAGAGCAATTCTCACAGCCTCTTCAAACGTAGAGGGGTGAACCCGAAAAACTTTGGTTCTGGCAATGCGAGTACGTAGACCTTCCATGAAGATAGTCACATGGACTGCTTCAGGCAAAGGGTCAGACTGCATTGCAGCCATGAGCGTTCGCAGCTCTTGGACATAGTCCAATAATTCATTCTTACCCTGGCGGGTAGAAAGAAAGCGTGAGCGCACGCGGTAAGCCTGGTTAGGTGGGGAAAACACCTGTACCAATTGTAACTTGAGCGACTCCCATGTGGGAAACGCTATGTCCGCCGACGTGCTACACGTCAAGGCCCATTCTCTAGCTCTACCATCGAGCTTCGAGATAGCCAGCGAGACCTGTTGATGGTCAAGCGTGATCAGGCCTGATCTCATGGCCATCTCGATCTCACGGATCCAGAGGATGAGGTTCTCGCCCTCCTTACCGGAGTAGTTTTTTACTTCCACTCTAAGTGGACGAAGCTTAGCCTCTTCGTCTGGTACAGACACGTAGCGTGTAGGCATAGCCGACGCTATTTGGTCCTGGACCTGCCCTAAAAGGGTCGCTTCATACTGCATGAAGCTTTCAACACGTGCATTAAGCACTTCAGGACCTTGTGAAACAAGGAACTCCACGTACTCTGGACCCAAAGATGCGGTCAGCTTATCAAGCGCGACCTTTTGGGCCTCAGATAGGGGAGTGATGTTTTCCATCCTCACAGAGGATCAGTCTTAAAGACTCAGGCGTAGATTGACTACGAGTGCTACCAAGTGTAGCGGAGCTACACAGCTCCTTAAGTCAGAGGAAGACTTAACGCTCTACGAACAACTTAGTTCTAAAGAACTAACGACTTTACGAGTCAACAAGCTTTATAGCTTCAGATCCCTGTTCCAGGGGACCTAACGATTCAGTGAATCGACAGCACTTAGTGCTCAAGAGTAGCTACCTCAAGGAGGTGTCGCTAACTCTTAGTGATCAGAGATCAACGATCAAGACGGCTCGCAAGCCACGTGTCTTTCAGATCAAAATGGGAACTGATTTTATTTTTGTTAAAGCCTATAGAATATCTTAATCCTACTCAAAGATCTTTCGTATCTAATGGCTGACACTCGTCAGCCCCTACAAACCGATAAGATATTCTATATCACCTTCACAGAAGCGAACCCTCAGGTGTGTAACACCTCTGGTACAAAGTACCATGATTTCGTGCAACCCCGTTACACTACAGGTGTCTGTAACGATGACGGTATATCAGCTGCAATTGCTGGTGTCGGCGGCGCAGTTGTAAAGCGACCACACCAAAACATACTGGAGACACACACGCTTCCACCGAAACGAAGTCTCGTTGGCATTGTTCTTAAACTACTTGTTATTTCATAGACGTTCTCTTTCACCAAACTGATTTTTGACCTGGCTATCATGAATGCGCTCGGTGTACTCGGAGACACTTTCATTGGAAGAATGTTACGTGTATACATTCTGACGTTCAAGAGTATTGTTCGCTCTCCTGCATGCTACAGCTACTGAAGCAGGTGAGAAAGGGAATCTGAAGTTATCAACAAGACGTCCTCGAAGTTGACCATGAGCACTGGTACTAGAAACGTAGTAAACATCGGATTGAAACGAGTTGATTGTCTTTGGTTGTATTCGTTGTCATTAAACTTACAGTTGACTGTATTTGGTGCGCTTCCTCCTCTTAGTCCTACAATGCACTTGCAGCGCGTCCGAATTACACTCGTTGAAGTTCCTTAAAATGGTTCAACAACGACGCAAATAAAGTTGATCGTCAAGAACAATTTGCCACAATGCGCAGGTGAGTGTCGATGTCCCGCAGGAGTGGTCCTAGTGAAGGGCACGTCGACAATGAATCGAATCACCCTGCAAAACGAAGAAGTTCCTACCCTTCACGGTCTGCCTACAACTCGCCGACACGTTCGCTGAGCACGAGCCCGTTTCTACGAAGAGAACTCCCCAAAGACCGCGATGACTCACGTTGAGATCCAGTACCGGTTCTTCATGTACAGTAGCACCGAGCCAGATACTCGTCGTTTAGTGGTGCGTCTGGGCACATTTGAGCACGTTGTGAGCCCGAGCCGACCTGAAGAGCAAGAAGTCGACTACGAGGTGATGACCAGAAATTAAGTCAAGATGGCTCACTGAAACCACCGCAGTGGCAACAGGAGTCCTAGTCAAGCTTCCTCTGTCCCCTGAATCAAATTGCCCCGAGCGCGAGAGCAGTCCCGCCATCCGGTAGAGTGCACACGAGAATCCAACCCTGGACTTAGTCAACGGACGGTTTCCACGGGCACTTTCGGGAGTGCCCCGCCGTGACGCCCGACGACTTAAGCCAGCAGAATGAGAAAGCTAGGAGTAGTAAGACTGTGTCATGGTCGGTGACTCGAGATGGTTACCACACAACCAGACATAAGAAAGCTAGGAGTCGTAAGACTGTGTCACGGTCGGTGACACGAGGTGGTTACCACACAACCAGACATGGGAAAGCTAGGAGTCGTAAGACTGTGTCACGGTCGGTGATACGAGATGGTTACTACACAACCAGACATCATTTTAGTGAATAGTGAAAAGTAGCTATAACAACGGACAGTCTGAGCTTCTCTCACTTTAAGATTGAGGAAGGAAAAAAAACTCGAAGGTGACAACCCCCTCTGTTGGACTGAGCAGTATACACCAACAGGCGTAAACATGCTGGAACTGTACCAACCGTAGCGGTGCGCCCCAGCCAACTACTGTCCCGGTGCTGTGTCCCAGCATCAACTGAGCCACTATACAATCAAGAAAACGGCATCTCGCATGAGGAACACGACATCTCGCATGAGGAACACGACATCTCGCATGAGGAACACGACATCTCGCATGAGGAACACGACATCTTAAATGAGGAACACGACATCTTAAATGAGGAACACGACATCTTAAATGAGGAACACGACATCTTGAATGAGGAACACGATATCTTGTACTCCGTCGCACTCTCACTTTGTTGTCTCTGATGTCCGATGTCTTGTACTACGTCACACATTGTTCGAAGTCAAGTACATCGGTTTTGATCAGCATTTGCTAGACGACTTCTACCGTCCCGGTCGTTGTTAACTTAATCATCTAGCAGATGGACAGTCTGGTAAGACGAAACAGCCCCTCCTTTGTCGGCTCTCTTCCCCCCTACGTCAGATGCTAACACACCCCTTACAATACGAATCACCGCAACAATTTCTTCTGTTCCAACCCCCCGCCTGACACGCTACACTCACGAATGCCAAAAAAGACGACCAACGACCCCTTCCGTATGGTACATACCAGGTGGCGGCTATTCATAGTTCGTTGCGTCATCGCTTCGTTGATGCTATATTGGTAATGGTGTTGGTTACTGATACTAATGACCATATGTCATGGACGACACTGTGTGATAGTGTGTAACGATGGGATCGACTCATCGTTTTGTTACTAATATTATAGAGTCGATATCGATAGGCTTAGAGTAGTACAACGAGACGAACTAAGGACCTAGCTAGATGATAATTCACTTTCCATTTTACCTTCTTCTAAGCTCTCCCACCTCAACTCGCTCTTGGCAGTTGCCAAAAGTCAAAAGGTTATGAGCCCAACTACGCCGGATGCGGGCGACATATTCCGCGAAGATAACTACTTCGTGTGGGAGTTCAACGCAAGGATGAGGCTGGCAAAGAAGGGATTGCTAGAGCACCTAGACGCTATGAAGGCCCCAGAAGAAGGAGACGCAAGCGCGTCAACTTGGAAAGTCAACGACATGAAGGCCTTCGCGATTGTGTCCACAATGATCAGCACAAATCTTCAGTCAATGGTGCGCACGGCAGAGACAACGGCAAAAGCATGGGACATACTGAAGACTTTCTTCCTGCGGCAAAGTATGCACAATCGTGTGCAGTTGCGGCGGCAACTACATGAGTTCAAGTTGGCCAAGGGAGGAAGCATCATGGATCACTTCCTGAGATTTGACGAACTGTGCATGACTATGCAAGCTGTGGGACAAGAGATCTCACAGGATGAGCATTTGGTCATCCTATTGGGTAGTCTAACGAGAGACTATGACCCCATCGTCAAGATAATTGAGAACATGCCCGGAATGACACTGTTTCACGCTAAGGAAATGCTGAGACGGGAGTACGATGGAATGGCGAGGACAGAACACCAAGAAATCGCACTGAAAAGTACGCACACTTCCAAGTACAAGAAAGGTCCGCGCAGACATGCGCGGGAGATCAAGTTCAAGCGGTGAAAAGTTCTCGGGAAGGTGTTACCGATGTAACAAATATGGGCACAAGCGTCAAGATTGCAAGGCTGAACAAGTGGAGACAGAGCGATCTGGAGAAGAGAGAGCATTTACTGCGTCAAGTCGGACGTCAGCTGGATGGTTATTGGACAGTGGGGCAAGCAGCCACATGTGTCCCGACAGAAATGAGTTTTCGAATTTAAACTCACTGACGGACCCGATCATGATCACCATAGCAGACGGCAGCGAAGTGGAAGCGCAAGGTGTTGGGACAGTGCGCGTGCAACTCAAGACTGGTGAAGTGATCAGGATCGAAGAAACGCTATGGGTGCCGGGCCTAGACCGAAGGCTACTGTCAATATCGGCATTGTCAAAGAGGGGTCTACAAGTGATCTTCTCAGATCTGAGCTGTCAGATCAGAAGTAACACGGAAGTCGTTGCCCAAATACCAAGACGAAACAAGATGTACGTCTTAGAGTGCAGTCCGGCTGAGGTAGCCAACGTTTGCGAAGAGACATCTCAAGAGCAAGAATCAGGTGACGGATCAGGAGCGGCTGATCTACAAGTGTGGCATGCAAGATTAGGTCACCTGTCAACGAAGATGCTCAAGGGTATGGCAGGTTGCGTCAATGGATTAAAGATCAAGAAGAATCAAGGCGTTGAAGATGATATCGAGATCTGCGAAGGGTGCATCATGGGTAAAGCAACCGTCAAGACGTTTCCGAAGTCACCATACGGACACGTGAAAACCAAGGAAGTGTTGCAGTTGGTCCACAGTGATGTCATGGGACCTATGGAATCGAAGTCTCGAGGAGGATCAAGATTTGTCGTGACTTTTATTGATGATTATTCGAGATATATAGTCGCATACTATATTGAGAACAAGTCGGAAGTGACGGATCGCTTTATAGAGTATAAGGCACTTATGGAGAATCAACTGTCCAAGAAGATCAAGTGTATCAGGACGGACAACGGGACGGAATACGTCAACAGACGTTTCTCCGGTGTATGTCGAAAATCTGGTATCATGCATCAGACGACGGTACCCTATTCGCCACAACAGAATGGGCTGGCCGAACGCATGAACAGGACACTGACAGAGCGGGCCAGAGCAATGCTCAGCCATATGCAAGTGGATAAAATTTGGTGGGCTGAGGCGATGAACACGGCAGTCTATGTGACAAACCGAGTTCCATGTGCTAGTCACCCGACTAAAACTCCATTTGAGTTCATCTTCGGGAAGAAGCCTGACCTCTCCGAGATGTGTGTATTTGGATCAAAGGGATATGCACATGTCGACAAGTCGAACAGGACCAAGATGACCAAGAAGGCGATTCGATGTATTTTTCTAGGTTACTCGGATCAAATCAAGGGGCTCCGAATATGGGATGAAGATGCCAAGAGGGTGACGCACACGAGATCGGCTAAATTCGATGAGAGACCACCACTTCAGTACGTGCAACATTACAGCAGATCAAGTGACCAAGAGTTTCGCGCTGTTCATGACGAAGACACTGTTTCTATCGATTTAGAACAGCCACGAGTCACGAAAGACATGGACATAGCAATGGAGGACAGTCACAGTGTTCAAGAAGAGAGTCACATGCAAGACAGGCGTACAACAACGATGGCTCTACCATCAAAATGCAGTAGCAAGATGCCTGAACACGTGGGTTCCAATGCTGACGATCCAATGTTTGAAATTGATGATGTGACGATGATTGAAGAAGATCAAGAATCGGCTGAAGAAGTGTCAAGACAAGGACAGATGGTGATACGACCAAGTCGACAGACAAGTATTCACGCATCGCAAGAAACCGCGATGGTTCCACTAGAATCGGTTCAACATGGACAATCTCAAGCGTTAATACCAGTGAATGGTGTTGATGAGGACTTTTATGACGGCTCAGAAGTGTGTCAAGAAAAAGGCACAAAGAGACTACGTATTGGGTATGAGCAAGCATGTGCAGCGTTCGAGACCCCAACGACATACGAAGAAGCTCTTAAGTCACCTCGTCGTGATAATTGGTACAAGGCCATTCAAGCTGAGCTCAAGGCATTAGAGGAAAAGGACACCTGGACTGTTCAAACACAGCGTCCAAACCAGAAAGTGATTGGAACCAAGTGGGTGTTCGCACTCAAACGAAACGAGCTGGGTGAGATTATTCGATACAAGGCACGTCTTGTAGCACTTGGCTACAGGCAGACGTATGGAGTTGACTACATGGAGACATATTCACCTGTGGCAAACCTCAACTCAATACGAGTGTTTTTGGCGGTGTGCTGTCAAAAGGGGATGTTGATTCATCAATATGATGTCGACACTGCTTTTCTGTATGGCGTTTTGGAAGAAGAGGTATACGTATACCCTCCTCTGGGTGTTCGTGCAGAACATAATCAAGTGCTTAAGCTGAATTGCAGTCTGTATGGGCTGAAACAAGCGGCCGCTACATGGTACAAGACAATTTCAAGTGTGTTTGTGGAGATGGGGTTCTCTTCATGCGTGGCAGACTCATGCATTTTCGTCAAAGAGATCAAGGGCTCGTGGATTTACGCTGCATTATATGTGGACGACCTTCTAATTGGGGCTGAATCTACTGGAGTGATGGAAGATGTGGCAGCTCAACTATCAAGTCGTTTCCAGTTGAAGATACTAGGGGGTGTTCGATACGTTCTTGGAATCGAAGTCAAGTACCTGCGCAACAATCGACGTCTGAAGATCAGTCAAGGATCGTGTATATCAAGAATGGTCGAGAAATTTAATCAAGTTGATGCGAAAGCAGTGTCAAATCCAAGTGTTGAAGGGCAAGCGATGGTCAAGATGGACAAAGCTGACACAAGAATGGAGAATCGACCGTATCGATCGTTAGTGGGGTCGTTGTTGTATGTGGCAACAGGCACACGACCAGATATTGCGTATACAGTATGTCAGCTGAGTCGTCATTTGGAATTTCCACATGAAGAGCACTGGAATGCAGCGATTCGAGTGTTGAGATATCTGAAGACGACGCAGAGCAAAGGAATTTGTTATGAAGGAGTTTCAGGCAATCTTCAGCTGAGCGCGTACACCGATGCAGACTGGGCAAGTAACAAGTGGAATCGCAGATCGATTTCGGGAGTTTTTGTCATGATTAATGGCGCACCTGTGATTTTCAAGTCGAAGATGCAGCAGAGCGTGGCACTGAGCACGGCAGAAGCAGAGTATATGGCTCTTTCTTTATGTGTGCAGGAGGTTCTGTGGACAAGAAGTCTACTCAAGGAGATGCAAGTGCAGATTAACTATGCTGTCAAGATTCACGAAGACAACCAGAGTGCAATCGCAATCGCAAAGACCGACGGCTATCAAAGTCGAGCGAAACATATCGACATCAGATACCATTTTGTGCGCGAACAGGTGAAAGACAAGATTATCGACCTGCAGTATACTGAAACCAAGTCACAGCTGGCAGATTTTCTGACCAAACCGATTTCGACAAAGAAGTTCGAGTCGCTGCTGGACAAGGCCAGGATCAGAGACTTCTAGTCGAGGGGGAGTATTGGTAATGGTGTTGGTTACTGATACTAATGACCATATGTCATGGACGACACTGTGTGATAGTGTGTAACGATGGGATCGACTCATCGTTTTGTTACTAATATTATAGAGTCGATATCGATAGGCTTAGAGTAGTACAACGAGACGAACTAAGGACCTAGCTAGATGATAATTCACTTTCCATTTTACCTTCTTCTAAGCTCTCCCACCTCAACTCGCTCTTGGCAGTTGCCAAAAGTCAAAATGCTACATTCGACGTCCACAACGGCTGCCATGAAGGGCACCCTCTCGAAGACGATCATACGCTGATGAAGTAATTCCTCACTTTTTTGCGCGGAGAAATCACAAACTTCTGCTTGTTACTTCAGACGAAGCCCTTGTTGCTAGTTGGTGCCCGGGTTTCCACGGATACCAGCTGGACTTTTCGAGAGGTTCTAAAGAGCTGTGAACTCGTGGTCTACCGACCATTAGACTTGGTGGTGATGCTGAGGTACTATGCGTGCACCTTATATTGCATTTCTATTCGTTATTGACGTCAACGACGACGCTCGAAACATTCCTCAAAGTTACCCCTTCACGGTAGTTAGTGCCAACAGCTCGTTCCAGATGTGCCAGATCATACGTGGCATCTTTGTATGAGGTCGTCAGGACGCGGTGGGATGCGGTGAGAACTGCAAATTTTTACAGAATGAGAAAAGCTTCACTGTGACCCGTCCGAGCGTTTTACGTATGGGGTACAGAAAATTGTGTCGATCAAGCTTTCGTGGATCGAGACTAGGCAAGGTGAAGCGCACTTGATGCAGCAACTCGAAGCAGCTGTACAAATTGGCATTGAAGTTGTAACTAAATGTTATAGAGCAGTATGAAGCCACGAAAATATAGATGACAGATGGCCGTCCATACCCACGCTCGCAGACTTATAATAGTACCTCTCGTCCACAACTTAGAAGCTCGTTTTTACACAATGCTGGAAGTATGGTCGTGCGATTGTATTTTCCGTATTGCTTTTTGGATGCATGGATGATCCATCATATACCTGGATCTCTGGCGATCTTGAACCTCGAGTAGTGCCGGACGAGAGCGCCCTACAGATGGCGTAGTCAGCAAGTCGCAACCCTCTCGAACGTAAAATTTTACAGCAGGCTGAAACTGAATACATGGATGGTCAACTCTGTGTTCGGATAGGTGAATCGTCTCCTAACGTTTGACCTTCCTTATGCGCTAAACGGCCTAGACCTCCGTTTTTTTCGCCTTGACTCTCATTCTGACACTCGCCAAGCCAGGCGAACTACCCCACAGCATCGTACGCAGCTATCGTCCGCAATCATGAACATCAGGATCTGCGCATTCGTCATCCTCGCCGTGGCCGTCTCGATCGTCTCTACCCATGCCCAGTGGTTGCCGTACTGTGGTAATACGCCAGCTTGCGACTCCCAGGCGAAAAAGGAATCTGCAGCAAGAGAGTGTTGGC